GGCCAGAGATAGGCCGAAATGGACCAAGCCAAGGCCCACAAAGGGCTGTAGAGCTACAGAAGAAGAAGACCTTTGACTAAACTATCGCACAAATCTCGCTTTGATTACTATTAGCTTTTATGGAGATGCGCACACTACTCTAGTTGTGCAACTAAACAGTTGAATTGGCTGCGAAACAATCGACAATCGCACAACTGTTTAGTCAAAGGTGAGCCCACGTTCTTAATCCACAAAAATAAATACCAGAAACTGCATTATTTCATCGTTTGATTTACAAACTTAGGTATACGCTGTGCATGACCTTTTTCCACTGGACTTAAACTTTTCAGAGTGAAGTAAACGGACACAAAATCGTGATTTATTTTATCTGTGGCAATGCTAACATGCCTCTTAAATAATTAATAAGGAAAAATGTGTCAAATAAACAAGCTATAAAGGTGAAACTGTTCATCTTACTTCGAAATAAAGGTGGTGACAAACATCTATCTGATATAAGTAATGTAAAGGACAAAGTTACTAATTATTAGTATACAGTACCCTAGTCAACCACCACCTTAAGTTGTAATATTCCTGATTAAGTCATCTTGTAAAATCTGTTAACATTAAAGAAATATGTAATTTTGTTGAGCATTACAACAATTGCCTTCATTAATTCACCTCGTTTGTGTTATTGTTAATGAGGTTTTTATGTTTGTTTATTGTTGTTAAATTATGTTTACATTTCTTCAGGAAATGATTTAAAAACAAATCTGATATGTACATAAAAAGAATCTTACGATTAAAGTTCGCTTTATTGTAGGTGATAAATATGCAAGCGGCCACCTGATCACAGCCCATAGACAACTGCAATAGTTAAAATAGTTTTTTTCCCTAATCTAATTTAATTTAGATAATTATTGAAAGGAAAACGTATCAATTACAAAAAAGATACTTTATCTAACACCGACAGGACAACAATACTTCAAAACTTAACGAATCAATGACAATAAAGTTTTTTTTCACACTGGCAACCGCGAATAATAAACCGACGGGACGTCTACATTCTAAATTCGAATCGAATTCAAACAATGGCGTCCAGCAGTTCGCGCCTTTTTACAACGACCACACCGAATGACACACTGGGAAATAAATGTTATTTCTTTACAAAATAACTTGATACGGGCTACCGAATTAACGAAATAATTGTGTCCATAGGCTTTCAGAAATTGATAATTAACAGAATACCGTGGTTACGGAGATTCCTTGTGATTTTAAAACTCCTACCGTTAAAGCATACATCTATAGTCTAACTCATGCACATTGCCGATGGTTTTATGACACGTGTTATTGATAGTACAGATCAGACGAGCAGTTCGTGGCACCTTAAAATAAATTTAAACAAGCGTTTCTACACATCGCTAGTGGTATAATCAATTTCGCTTTTCAAATATTTCATCACTAGCTTTCACCCGGAACTCCGACCACTTGAAATTAAAAAAAACAAAAGTCATTAGCCTATGTTTTCCAAGGCTATCCTCAACATCTATGCTAAATTTGATCGAAATCCGTTAAGTAGTTTAGGCTACAAACTGTAACAAACATACTTCCATCTAAACTTTTGCATTTATTTCGCATTTATAAAGTAAGAAGATAGTAGAAAGTAAGATTTGATAAAGATCTCATCATCATCATCATCATCATCCTTCTTATCCTACTCCCGTAGTGTCGGTACAACAGGTTTTTGTCCTCCAAATAACTTATCATACGTCATCTCAGTCATCACTCCCTTTTTGATCATGTCACCTTTCACGCAATTTATCTCTTTCTAGGTCTACCTCTACCGGTGTACCTCCACACTCATAACTAACGTTCTCATAACTCATAAGATCGTATATAAATGCCATTAAAATACCGAGTAGAATAATTTTCAGACTTCAAAAATATATTGACAATAATTGTCATACCAAACCTGTCAAAAACTGTACACCAAGTTCAATTAATATGTAAAATGTTACAAAAACAAAACGCACTGTATACAATACACACTGGCGTAAATTAAGAAATAAACATGCACCCGTACAAATAAAAATAGGTAATAAATAAAATAAAATAAAAAGAGGTGAGTGTAAGTACATAGGTACAGTTAGCAAAATGGTACCAAGTGGAGGCACTATTTATTTGAACGATGGTATTTGCACCAATTATTTACCTTAATTGTAACTGTTCTTAAAAAAATTGTAGATAATACTATGTTACATGTTAGCAATAAAATATTGCAGACGCCTCAACGGGGATATAGCTCAGTGGTAGAGCATTCGACTGCAGATCGAGAGGTCCCCGGTTCAAACCCGGGTGTCCCCTAGTTACTTTTTGCACCAATATTAAGAATGTACTTTATTTTGTATATTTTACTATTAAGGGGTTTTATTTTAGAGTAACAAAGCGTATTAAATTATGGCCAACATAAGAGCGGGAACAACGTTCATCATGCGCCAAGAAATGCCCAAACTGGAGACTCCGCCACAACCGAAACCTGAAGTAGACCTAAACTCTGGAGAAAAGATCTCTGATGAAACACCAGACAGCGAACAGGTTGAGTTTTAGATTTGTTGGTGGAATTTTAATCTAAAATTAAAATAAAACATAGGCTGTTTTTTTTTATTTCACGGATACGAAGTTGCGAGCAACAGCTAGTAGTAAAAATAATCGGATTCATATCTTTTTTTTACAATTTTACCCGTTTATTTCTAGACATTTATGATTGATTCATTGAAAATTCATGTTTGTGTCATATAGTACTCTCCATTTGTATCTCATCTGCAGACAAACTCAACGAACTTCTCTACGGACAATAGCCTGCTGAGCCGCGAGGTGGACTGCTGGATTCAAGGCTGGGAGGTCGACCCAAACGTCAGTGTTAATGTAAAACGAAGGTATACTTTTTAAGATTTGCATAACTAGAAAGACAACTGCCGAAGGGACAATAAGACATCTGCTTTCTCTCTCTCGCCTTGTATCAAGTCTTTGCATGAGAAAAGCATAGCTAATATTTTGTCAGTCACTCCTGATAATGTTATAGACCTACTATTCAGCATGTCTGTTTTTTTGGTTTTTATTTCTTTTTATCTGCAGGGTACCGACTGTGCAGCGATCGACGTTGACCGCCCCGGACAGTCTGTACTCGTCTCGACTGTACTACGCTTTAGCCATGATGATGCCCGTGTTCCGCTCACAACAGCGGGCCATTTGGTCTTGTTCTCCAAGGTGAGAGATTAATGTAAAAAATCATAAAAATAACACGCAAACTATACAAGGGTAACAGTGGATGCTGATGTTTATTTGGTTTCGACATGCAGCTAACGCCATCTATTTATCAGGTTATGGCAATTTTTAGCATTGTCAAAAGTATTGTTTTATAAATTATCCCCTAGATGTCACTGATACCAAACTTTTTTATGCAGTCTTTATTTCTATATAATAGTGTTCTAATATCATTAATAAGTTACATTTTTCAAATAATTTCAATAGATATTGCAATTATTTGTTGATTTTATCTTTTGGGCTTTATTATCTAAAAAAATTATACATTTTCTAGAATCTGATAATAGATGGCGCTTACTATAACTTATCTATTTTTCATTTTCAGCATTATGTTGACAACACTGCGGTCCGTCTTCGCCTACATGACGGAGGCTTACAGCAAAATTCGAATGCAATTTCAACGGCACTTCACAGAACATAACGTTCATGATTTTCTAAGCACAATTCTCGATGTACTGTTGGTTATATACGCACTTGGATTTCTTGTCATTTCTACGTACGAATCAGCTGTAATGCCATGATTAGTTTCTACTTTTTAATATCGTTTTAATACATTCTGTACGTACAATGTAGTGAATTACTCTAAATGTATTCTCAAAGAACTCAACTCACTATTGTCTGTTTCCATATTACAATCTCAAACCTATTACTTTGTTTTTACTATAATTTAACAACCACTATTTCTTATTTTTGACCTTTTCGTACTATATTTTGATTTACTTTATGAAAACATATCCCTTTTTATTGTTTGTTTTCAAACAGGCTTACGGATATGCAGGTTTTCAGACTATTCAGACAGATAAACACAATGAGGAACGGTCTAGAACTCCATATAGTTCAAGAAATATGTTATCCTATATTTACATCAAGGAACTATTCAATAAAATCATAATTTGAGTTACATATTTTAGATACAGATCATATTGATAAAAGACTCCATAAATTCCATACTATTGTATACCGTTTAATGGAAATATACGATAATAATAAACTGAAGAGAGTTAAAATAGACCTAAACACTGCACTTTAAAGTATATTTTCGAATGAAATGTACGTTCCTGAAACATCCTCGCATTAAGTTACAGTATTTGTTCAATCGTTTGTCATAGAAATGTCACACAAACAAGTGCTGTAAGGACATATTACATGTAAGTCGTTAATAAGTAAATTTGCGTTGAGGTAGGCTTGATTTTATTCAACTACTAGCTTTCGACCGCGATTTCGTCCGCGTGGAATTAAAAAAAAACGAAATTGAGTAGCTTATGTGTTCTTCCAGGCTATCCTCTACATCTGTACCTAATTTCATCTAAATCCGTTCAGCAGTTTATGCTACAAACTCTTACAAACATCCATCCATCTAAACTTTCACATTTATAATATTAGTATGATGCCATAGTCAACGCTGAACCACTGTGGATCAACTTCACATCTTTGAACTTCGTCGAATGTGAAGATTTTCTTCACCGTTTAACGTCAGTTATGTACTAGTTCGAAAAACACATTGACATTGGCGGAATCCGGTTGTCATCATGTCAGTTTGTATCAAGCGATGCTTGACCCATCTGATCGCGTAAATATGTAAGAAGTACCTACTGCGAAATCATTCATCGTCTTTTATTGATACGTGTTTCTGTTTTTAGTTTTCTTAACAGACGCATAATCTACACTGAGGCTATTTGTGCACTAATCGACTTTGAGTGATTCAGCTACATGTAAAAGTCGTTTGTATATACCGACTAGCTGTTCCCGTGATATTTCATCAGCATAAAATTATTTTATTGTTTACATATGTCAAATTGTCAATTGCAAATGTCAAAATGACATGACATGACAAAACTTGGCAATCTTGCTTCCTTGATGTTGGCAGCAATGGTCTCTTTCCCACATTAAAAATGGCATGAAAATATATAGCCTAAAGCGTGACGTAAGTGTAGGGCTTTTTATTAAAAAAATGAATTATTCAAAAATATGCTGTCATTGCTGACATCTTAGGCAACTAAGAAGTGTGTGTTTACGCTTTATTATAATAGTATAGATGATTTTATGTATTCATTCATGTTAATGTAGTTACGTTAAACATTGTAATACTGTTTACATACCAGTGAAATGTCTACAGTTTTGAACTCATGAATGAGTAAGAGTGAACGAAAGTTTTTGTTTACATTATAGTGTTGCCGACGCAAGTTGGTCCGTGACTTCCCGGTGTTTTGGAGCCAAGCGGTATTGACACACGCCGAATGCCGACACGCTCCCTGCAGATATTATCAGCTAACAACAAACATGCCGCTTGTTTGTTATTAGCCGATGCACTCATTCTTATTAATACACCATGACTACTGAAACTACGGACTTGGTACTTTAACATGAAAATAGATATATTTTTATTTTTTATTGCAACCCATGTACTAATTAATTTATTCCGTAATGGACAAAAACGTCTAAAAGAATTTAATTCACTTACAAATTAAGATGATTCTATTATAAAAGTCGAATTTGTATACATTTAAAATCAACTACTGGACGTAAATCATTAGTTTCCTAAATAGCCGTTTCGTGTCTCCTATTTAACCTTGATCAGGTCATCGGAAGCCTATATACAGCACGTCTTAAAAACTAACTATTTTTGTTGTAAGTTCGTAGTTTAAGTGGTGGTATACATTGAAATGCATTTACAAAAGCTGCGTCACTAGGTGTTGCACGTGAGATGTAACGTTAGTATTACATAAAGCAGACGTTGTTCTGAGCTCATTTTAATCATCTGTTTTTAGTCCGACTAAAATATTATATTCAAGATCAAGTCCAAGGCTAATGTTTAAATACAAATATGACATAAAGTACATAAATTATACATGATTTAGACTATTTTTGTTATCTGGTAATCGACTTATGATTTTAAATTGTACAAGTTCACAGTTTACGTTGTTAGTCGTGCATTTTTATGCAATACATTGTGTATTTGTTCAATTAGTAAAATTTTGGTAAATAAATAAATCACGAGTTTTGGAACATATTTGTTTGCTCTATTTTATAACTGATTCAAATATTTTTTTTATAATTTGTAATATTTTACCATTGACGTCATAAATGCAGGTAGATAACGGTAGAGGAAATAGTGAACTTGAGTATGGCGTGAGAAATGGTATTTTCACTAATTAAACTAAATTAACTTGTACTTTAATAAACTATATAAATATGAATATTTAATTTTTATCTTTAAGGAAAAGTATTTATTTTTAAAAGTAAATTAGGAAATACTTTTGTTGACGGTTGTATATATATAAATACCTTGTGTTAACACTTTCGTGCGCGACTGTACTCCGCACATCAGACGTTCCGACAGCCGCGGCTGTCGCAGTGTGCAGAAAGCGTGCGTGGTGCGCGGTACGCCGCAAGATGTTCGCGAGCATGTTCGTCGCGCGGATGGTCGCGCTCGCCGTTCTAGCCGGCACTGTCACTGCCAGAGCTAAGGTAAGTTTTATGTGGGATTAAAAAAGTAAACCTGTCTTTAATTAAAACAAAACTAGCTTTTGCCCACGACCCTGTTGAAAAATGGCTTAATGTTATGAATTAACATAAACACTCGTTTTCAATGAAAAATTTACTGAATTTAATTTCCCAAGACATAAAATTAACATAGTTAGGTGTATTTTGGTCATATTGTCACAGCTTTCACTCTTTCGACTTTTCTTTTGTTTTAAAAACAAATGAAAAGTCCTCGTGTAGTTAAATTGCTAGCATCAAACTATACAATCTTCATTCCAGTTACATATTTTCATAATGCTATTGGCTTGTAAATATCGCCGCAATAAAATGACGTCTCATATGATATCACAAAGGAAGTACTAAATTCTCTACATTTATAAAACGACATCCGTTTTCATAGACGTATTTCTTTAGCCCACATAACTAGCCGCTGTACAGTATTGTTTATTTACTAATAGCTGTTGCCTAAGACTAAGCACTCGCGTAAAAAAATTAGTAGCTTATGTATTCTTCCAGACTGTGTTATACTTTTGTGCCAACAACAATATCCGTTAAGCCCTTCTGATAGAGTAGGGTAGAGACAGAATTATCCATTCACCCACGCAAAATAATATTACCATGCTTTACTTTCACGACATAACTCAAAAGGATAGGCAAGGGGCACCTTTATCCTGAGAGGTGTAGAGCATTAAATGGTTTTCTATTTTAAAAAATGTTATCAAATGTTAAATTACTCAATTTGATCAAGATTTGTAGACATTTAGACTGTAAACGCTAACAAACATCCATCCATCAATATAAACTTTTGCATTTATAATATTAGTAAGAAGACTAGACAATCCTATTAAGATCTACTAGCAGTTCGCGTGCGGCTTCATCCGCATGAAAAAATAAATTTATTATTTGCATTTGTCAAATGTCAAAATGACATGACATGACAAATCTTGGCAAACTTGCTTTCTTGATATTGGCAGCAACTTATGGTCTCTTTCCCACATTAGGATTTCTATCCAAAATATTTACACCCTAAGTTTAATGGCGTGAAAATATGTAGCATGACGTAAGTGTTGGGCTTTTTATTAAGAAGGATTTATTCAAAAATATACTGTAATTGCTAACATCTTAGGCAACAAAGAAGTGTGTGTTTACGCTTTATTATAATAGTATAGAAGTATAGATTATTAGTATTTTACTTATTTAGTATACAGTATTTTGGAAACAATTCAAGCAGGTGTTAGTTCAAGACAGTAATTGAATAACAGTATACGAACCCACGACCACTAGATCGACTGTCCATAAACTGTCTCTGCTGCCTCTGTAGCACGGACGGTGCAGAGCGTAAACGAATTCTCCGCGACAACAAAAAAGAAAAAGATCGGCTTTCCATACTAAACTAGACTATAGGCATTGTATTTCTTACAATTTCGTCTATTACCCAATCCCTTTCAAATGTCTAATGTATTGCAGAAGCCCTTCTGTTAAATAAATAACAGAGCTATTTAGATCAAGAGCATAGTTTGAGATAAATCTCTTGTTTGCACATTCCGCTACAAGTTTAAGTTCCGAATCTATTAAATACGAATTGAACTCTAACTAGTTAGCAATAAGTTTGATTTTAGAATGATGCTTGAATAAATTTTATCTAAGTGAAATTTTATCCGTTGAAACAATGGTGGAACTTGAACCATGGAATTCGTAATATGATATTTTCCCATAGTTAATGTTGGGTAGTTTAAATCGAATGCATTTGTGGTCCAGGATGCCCGCTTACTTTGTTGTTTCTTGCAGTTAATTATTTATTTACGAGCTGTCGCCCGCGAATTTCGTTAGCGCTAATTTGGACCACCAGTTACGCCATTTTAAAAAAAGGCTATTTTAGCTATCCTGCAGTAAAAGTATGGTCTAAATCGGCTCAGCCGTTTCGGAGATTACCCGAAACAAACGCAGCTTGCGGACAGACAGACAGACAAAATTTTTAAAATTCGATTTTCGTTCTCAGCTACGCAAATACATCACCTTGCTGAAATCTGGAATTTTTCTTTTTATATTACAAACAGACACTGCAATTTTATTATATGTATAGATAGATAGATAGATATAAATTTCTTTCTAAACTTTTATCAACACCAAAGTGTATCAAACTTCTTGTGTGCAGCATTGTACGTTATTAGACAATTATCTAATGCCTTGTCCTTATCATTGTACTTGTATCGTCACCAACACAAGTGCATCCGATGCATGTCCTCGCTCATTGTCAAAGTAGAAGAGCAAGGTTGCTTCGATAATGGTCGATACAACTCAATAAGGTTGCCACTTAAAGAGCTTATTATGATTGCTTATGAGTTACATCATCGGTTCTATACAATTAACTTAACAACCTTATATGTGTACTTAGTTGTGATCGTAGTATATCTCTATCTATCTAGTTTTAATTTTTAAATGTTTATATTCCCCTGTCTTTTGTTCTTTAAGAAGCACCAATAGCCTTATGGCTTGGAGTACGGACTACCGATCTTGCGGTTCAGGGTTCAAATCCCGCCATTCGACTATTGTCTTGAACCATATCCTTGCACAAGCGTAGAGCTTATTTGGAATGGTTAAAGGAAATATTAGTCAACTAACAAAAATCTACTAATATTTCTTTAAAAAAAAATAAAGTAACCACAACAAGATATTGGTAAAGTTTTTAATTATAAATCTACTAGCTTTCGCCCGCGACTCCGTCCGCGTGGTTTAAAAAAATAAAAGTAAGTAGCCTATGTATCTTTCCAGACTATCCTCTAAGTCTATACTAAATTTCATCAAGATCCGTTAAGCCGTTTAGGCTACAAACTCTAACAAACAAACATCCATCCATCCATCTAAACTTTCGCATTTATAATACTAGTAAGATAAGATAGTTTATTTTTAAGAATAAAAGTATTTATTAATATTCGTGATAGACCCTCAGGAATTTGAATACGTATCCATGGTAACCTTTTACGTCAACATTCTAAGTATTGAGACCACGAAAATGGAAAAACGCTTCCAATTTATTATTTGTTTTTATGTCTTTTAACAATTTATGAGTCATTATAGATATCCAATTAAAAATGTTATCCACATTTTATCACATGTTTATTTATTTATTATTCATATAGTGAATGATACTTGTCAATAAAATCGATTGCTATGATGCATTGTTAACCATTAGTATTGTTTATTTTATTGCATACTTATAACTACATAGTCTTTAACAGTGGTAGTGCCCGCTTTAACATCTTCGCTCGAAAGGGCCGGCTCGGTGTAATACCACGACCACACAGAAAACAGGCGTGAAGTGGGAGCAATTCCGCGTTTCGTCTGATGAGTGTGGTGCCGGAGGTCTAATTTTGGCCCCTCCTTTCCACCCTTTTCTTAAGAGGAACGGAAGGAAAAGTGGATTTAAAGGTGGAGGAGACGCATAGGAAGAGGAAATATCCTCTTCATTTGCGTCTCCTTCCACCATCGATTAAGAGTAGACAACGCATCTGCAATTGCGGATGTATATGGGCAGCGGTCGCTACGCCATTTCGACGGTTTCAAGTGGCCGCTTGCTCGTTTGCCACCTTATAATATAAAAAAAAGAGTCTCTTCCCGCCTTCAAGTCGCTTCCCGCTGTCTTTCCATCCCTATGTATGCTTAGATCTTTAAATCTACGCAACAGATTTTGACGCAGGTTTTTTATTAGACTAAGAGATTTTCACATTAAAAAATTTTAGATTTTAACAGTTAAAAATCAAGAAGTAATTAAACAAAAGATTAACAGCCTTACAGATAAACGCTGTATAAAGTTGAACTTAGGAATAAACAAAGTATAAGCAAGTATTAGTACAAATTTTGATAGAACTTAAAGCAACTACTAATTACTAATACCTCGAGATAAGCCGGAAAGTATAAATTAAATATTCGTAAACAATATAATGGAAGGCGTAAGCAAAGTAAAGATAGTTATTATTTTGCATTCTTCGTCGGCATAGATTAAGCTGAAATTTAGTTTATCACGTGTTTTATGTTGGATGTAAAAAGATCCACATATTGAACTTTTAATAGATTCATCACCACTTATCAGGACACTCGTAGTGACCAATGGACGTCTCTGAGTATGTTAGTAAAACTAATAAATACATTTATTAAGTTTTAATTTTAGTTTATAGAAGGTAGTCACGTGTATTATGATCAGGCGAATTGAGTACCGTTGTTAAAGTATTACACGGATAAAAGATCGCCCAGAACCGCAACTATTCTGTGAATGAAGTCCCCAAATAGATCTAGAATAGCCAATGGATATAAGTTCCTTTACTATTAATTGATAGCTATTATATTTATAAGAATGCCTGCAGTATGCGGAATTCATTTATCTAATCATCTTGAGTATGCATTGATAACATCAACGTAATTGCAATGTCAAATTGTAGCGTTCTTAATTATTGTAAAGCCCGCAACACACGCTTATTATCAGAACAGTCTGATCCTTCTGATCTAACTGGAAACTGTTTAAATCTCTGAAACGACTGTTCGGATAAAACTGTACGTGTGTAGCGGGCTTAAATGCACACGAAGACTTAGTGAAACTAATCTAACGGCTATAAAAATCTATCCCATGAAAAGTGTTACATCCATTAAGATATAGGGGTTGAATACGGGGTATCTTCTCGTTTAATATGAACTCTCGTTTCCAGGTGGCGGACGCGAGGATCTACGTGGACGCGTCCTCGGAGACCGAGGAATTGGAGGAGATAGAGAAAAGATACACCCAGGAACTGTTGAAGGAGTTCAGGTCAGCCAGCGATGATGCAATCCTGCTCTTCAGCGAATACTCCTCCAGGTCCGGGAGAGATCTGAAGTTCTTCCTGAAGAACATATCCATGCTGAGTTCGGATACGAAAAATACAATGAATCGGAGTTTATTCGATAATGCGGTATGTTTATTAAAACTAATCTAAATTGTTAACTAATAGTATATTCAATGACTGCAGGATTTAAATATCCCCCCCTCCCGTCGAAGTTAAAAAGGGGGTGTTGTAGATATCTCGACCTGGGGACTAGTAAAACTAACTATAACCCTAAGAAATATCTACATAGGTTTTAGATCTATCAATTATCAGATGAAACGGTTTAACACGAATCGTATAGCATAAAGTGTTTTGTTCCGTTGCTTCACTTACTGGTCTAGATAAAGGAAGTGGAGCATCTAAATTCCTGTGTACTCATAGTGCATTAGACGCGCACAGCAACACATTCATTTGGATTCATCTCGTGTACTATCTGTGAAACTGCATATGCTTCCTTAATATTGATAAGATCGAAATAGTGTATACGTATAAATATTGACTACTAGCTTTCGCCCGTGACTCCGTCCGCGTGGAATTAAAAAAAATCTAAATAGCCTATGTGTTCTTCCAGACGGTAATCTACATCTATTCCAAATTTCATCGAGGTCTATTCAGCCGTTAATGCTACAAACTCTAACAAACATCCATGCATCTTTCGCATATATAATATAAGTAAGATTTCATCCTAATAATAACATAAATATTTTGCATTCTTTTAAGTAGCTTTATGGCGAAGTTTAGCTCGATGTTTTTGAGATTATATAGTAAATTTGTATAAAGACACTCTGGAAGTTAGGGCATCTAACACGGAAACTGGTCCCAAAAATTATTTGAAAAATATCTTGCTGCCGTCATCGGACGATAGACCACCAGATACCTATCATACCAACTTGGCTGGCAATTAACAACCGTGCGGTTTTCCCGAAAACTGTTGCCTCGCACAACCGCGTTCCTAAAAGGTCTATCCTCGACGCCATTTCCCGAGGGTTCATAAGAACCTGTTATTGTGGATGTCCATGGCTCATCTCAGTACTTCAGCTGCCCCTTTCTCGTGTAAAGACGCGCGACATGAAAATATGAAAACTCTGACAAATTTATAAACTCATAACCTTGAAGTGAAATGGGTACATCGACCGTAAAATTCCGACAGGTACAACAGTCGTATGTAGACGTACAAATGTTTACGTAAGTTTTAATAGAAGGTTAATCTTAGCGATGCCGACGAGAGATGCGGAACAACCGGCCCTAGGCCCAGTAGGTACAGTCATGAACTAAATAAATGTCTAACTATATAAGTACAGTCGCGCAATTAAAAGAAACGTTAAAGTCGCGTCAAATTCGAACAAAACACTTGAAGTAACACGTATTTTTAGTTCTTTCACTAGACAATTATAGATTCCATATGTTTCTTTTTAAAAATTAGTTTTAATTTTTACATTCGTGACATTCGTGAAATCATTTTTACCTATTTACTTGTGAGGAAATAGTACTTTTAACTACCACCTTACTTCTTACTAGTCTTACTATCTTACTAATACTATAAATGCGAAAGTTTAGATGGATGGATGAATAGATGAATGGAGGGATGTTTGTTAGACTTTGTAGCCTAAACGGCTGAACGGATCTCGATGAATTTTCGCATAGGCGTAGAAGATAATCTGGAAGAACACATAGGCTATTCATTTTTTTTTTAATTCCATGCGGACGGAGTCGCGGTCAAAAGCTAATTGATTAATAAATGTTTTATTAATGGGGGAAAATGTTATGTAGTTTCCGTTTACCAGGTTAATTAAATTTAAACGACATGGTAACCAACGGGTATATTCCCTAAAGTAATATTTGAAAACTTGTCCTTACATTTATCCTTCTTTTCGTAATAGTATACGTCAATCCGTCAATCTGTCCGTTATTTTAATTATATCGTACAAAATTTTAATGTAAGGTCGACTCAGTGACGTCATAGATTTGGCAGAAGATCAGAGTGCGGCCATTACTATTAAACTTTTTCTTGTCTTCGCGTTTGAACTACAGATCTAATCTAGATATAATTTGAACACTAAAATTGTTGAAATTGCAAATAGAATGCACTCGATGCAACGATAAATGCAAAATTAATTTCATTGCAAATAATTAACGAATTAAGTCGACTTTTTATACTCCTTGATGTCATTTTAATCGCTATAAAAACCAAATTTAAAAAAAAGTAAAATCCGCAAATGACAAACAACGTTTATAGCTAAATTAATAATCAATTTAGAAACGGATCGGAAAATATATTAGAGACAATTTAATTTTAAAACACTTCAGCTACTATTTTAATAAATTCATTATCGCAGTATAATTTGCTTGACTTGCAATTGTTTACAATAGGTTGAATGACAAGGTCTAATCAGATCGATGTGCAGTCATTCAGTCAATAAAATGACAAGTATTGTCGACGTATTCCGTACATTAACGACGTAATGGAGATTACTAAACGTTTATTATCTTTTTTGCGTTGAAGTCACATGATAACTGCATTCATGTTGGGTTTCTGAAGTCTCCATTTATTTTATCATTACCTGGTGCTTCATCAGTGTTATGTTAACCTACGTTTCAACGGAGTAAACTCAAACAGTTGGGAAACCCATTTCATGAGGTTATCAAACCAAACGAATGGTTTCACTGGTCATATAACGATTTTTAACAGTACCTTAGCGAAGCTTTATCATAATATAAGACCTCTTAGCGATTCTAGGTAAGACTTTGTTGAATTCTCGATTAAATAATTTGGTTCAAACATTGCTATTACGTTGTATTTTTATGCAAATGGTGCAAAATATGGTCATATCTACAACAGAAGATAGGTCTTTGATGTAAAAAAACATACAGACGATTTGAGTACCTCCTTCTTTTGGGAAGTCGATTAAAAAGACCGCGCGTAATTCTGTCACGAACGAACGAAATATACAGAAACTATAGTTATTGCTTATTGCATCAAGCTATTTATATTTAGCCATTTTAATGCTATTACTAGTTGTTGACACATTCGGGGTATGATTTTCGGTGTTTCTTGACTGTTGTCATCACATTTATAGTTTTGAGAACTTTGTTTCGAGTGGTTCAAAGTTTTTAATTCATTAATTTAGCCCAGGAGTAAATCAATGAATACGTCATATCGTAAAATAAACGCAATGGCCTAGTAGTGGCGTTTTGCCTAAATTGCATTCATGCCAAATGTCCAACCTTATAATGATGAGTAATTAATTGTAATCAGTCGTTACGGTAGACGAAATTACATTTTGAATGAATCACGATATAATACTAAACTAAAATAAACTAATTAGTAAGCTATTCCACGCTCTAATCTATGTCCAAGACGCATTTTTATTTAATAAATATTAAAGCGCGGGAAAACAGATACAGGTTGTGGCATAGATAATTTATGTGCAAATTAAAAAAGCAAGCGTCTACATCGACGAGGTCGCTTGTAATTGTGTCATAAAGTAATGTAATATCAATAAATAATAATAAAAAAATAAATGAAATAAATCGATTGCTGGGCTATTTCCTATAACAGGCTGTAGTCTATATCCAAGATGATTTTTTTATTAATAAATGTCAAAGCGCGGGAAATCTGACAGAAACAGGATGTGGCATAGATAATTCATGTGCAAATTAAAAAAGCAAACGTCTGCATCGACGAGGTCGCTTGTTATTGTGTCATAAAGTAATGCATAAACTATAATGCAACGCTGCTTTATAAGTTGCATTACATTGTTCATAGTCTTTTAAACATCTTGTCCAAGGATAATTGTTTAAGAAAATAACTTCAAATAGTGACCTTTGCACAGATGCAGTATTAACAGATAATAAAAGTATGCAGATGTAAATAGTTCAAGAGCAAAGTAATAGTTTTCAGTTGTTTGTCGATTGTTTATGGTTTTCGCGATATAATTTACGATACAGAACTGAAATGAGGCTCCAGTTTTGATGGCCCGTGGATGAGTTACACGTTCTATTTATGAACAATTTCATTTTAAAGACTTTGTTATATGTCTTTTATATTATTACGTGTCTTTTATATGATTTATCATCAAACGAACATTCATTTATATTGTACTAACTTTTGCCTGGAATTAAAAAAAAAAAACTTAGTAAGTAGCTATGTATTCTTTGAGACTTTGCTCTATATCTTTACCAAATTTCATCGAAACGATTCGGAGAAACCTTCTAACAAATATCCCATCCATTTAAACTTTCGCATTTATAATATTCCTGTGATATGGAGGGCAACTGTTGATGAATTCAAATATAATTCTTTTACAAGAAATTCTTCCACAGATTTAGTTTTATTTTTTATAATTCCAGCCGTCATCATGTCGGGCACAATTCGATAGTCGCCTTCACAAGATCGAGTTTGACGCGCACGTCGCCGCTAGCTTCAACGCGGAGAATCACGAAAAGTTCTTACAATCCCACATGATAGTGCTGAGAATGCATCTCAATAAGGTACAG